TTTTCATTAATTTTTAAGAGAATACATACCATTTTACTCAGATTTCCATTAAGGGAAAGAAAAAAACCCCAGCTAGGATGTCTAATAGTCCTCTAAAGTAAATATTCATCTTGATAACCTAAAATTACATATAAGCTCACAACAAGGTTACGAACTCTAAAACAATAAAACGCTATTACCTGAACTGGCCCACTTCAATGTATTCAAACTGCTTCAGAACAAATCCAATGAACACCTGCAGGCAGGAAAATAAGAGTTTCACATCAATGGTAGGATCAAAATGTAAATACCAGCTTTCTTTTCTTCCTGCTCATCTGCGTATATTTTTAAACAAGACTCCCGATTTGTTTATAATCAAGAACTTAAATCTACTCTCAAGTCAGACAAGGTAATCACAGAGCACTTCAGCAATCCCTTCAAAACCAAGTTTACTAAACACTAAGGTGAAATCTCACTGGGAAAACAAATAATAAATTCCAGGAGACACCAGGTATCACCCCAATCACATCTGGGGGACCACGTGCTTCAAGGGGCAGCGACCTAAGCAGCCACAATGCCTGTCTCCTTCTTCCTACCCATACTCGGAGTCCAGTGAGACCCCAGAAGAGCAGTGGCAGCCAATGGCTGGAGAGCTGGTTTGTGTCACTCCTTCCCTGACCAGAAGTTCCCACAGAGAAGACATGGGACTCACACCAACCAACCCCCAGAGCCGTGCACAGAGTGCAATGGTTTGTCTACTCCAGTCTCCCACCCTTGTTCATAAAATTGTCCCTGTACCAGCTCCTGAGAGGTGGGGGAAATGCAAGACAAGCAGGAGGACAGAGTGCTCACAGCAAGAAAGAGCCTTCCCCTGAGTGAGGGCAGTGGGGAGAGGGCTTTGCCAGTGTGAGGCAGAGGGCTGGGACCCAGGGGGGCGCACTTGCTATAGTCAGGTCAGCAAACGCAGAGACCAGCAGGGCAGTCAGGACTCAGCTGGCCCCTCTTGTCAGCTCTATCGGATGGAGACTTTAGGATACCAGAAAGGAGCAGCAAAAATCTTGGCACTTTTGAGAAAAGGCTCCAGGTAGAATGAGTACAGAAAGACTCTGACAAGCTGGTTAGGTCTGCTGAGGAGTCTGTGCCCGAATGGGGAGCTGTTTATTTCCTCTGCCTACTAAGGACAGCCCAGAAAGAGGCCAGTCTGCAGCTGCCCCACGAGCACATCAGCTTCTACCTCCGCCTACAAGAGGAAAGAGGCTGTAGGACCACCAGACGCGACAGTTAGCACCCTGGCTTCCTTGGGGCACCCAGCTGGGACCCCAGACCAGGCTTTCCCCACACTGTCTTGAGTGTCAGAGCAGGCAAGTGAAGAACAGCGGGCCAGAACACAGATTTCCTCCTGACAGCTTTCATGAAGGAAGAAAGCATGAAAGGTCAGGCCAAGGCCAAGCTCCACTATCCACTCCTCTTCACTGAAACAGGCCCTATCCCTGCCCACCTGCGGGAAAATCAGAGCTTCCCTGGTTCTCCTGGGAATGACCCTTTAAAGTGAATAAAGAAGTCAACAGGTGTGAAGACAGCTAACAGGGAACTGTAATATTCCATCTCAAAAAGCTCCTTCCTGGCCAGGGATTTAGCTCAGTGGTGCCAGCACCTGCCTCACAAGCACAGGGTCCTGAGTTCGATCCTCAGTACCAAAAAAAAAAGCTCCTTCCTCACATAGAAAAGTTGTCAAATATCAAAGCCCAAAACTGAGCCAAATTTTGATGGTCTAAAGGTAACTTCAACCAATGAAGGCACAAGTCCTGCCTCCTGAAGCAACATGAACAGCCAGAATCTCCTGGCCACAGCAGCTGCATGAGAAAGACAAGGTGGCCGTGAGGAAGGGACAGGAACCCTCCTGAAAGGTCACACAGCTCCCTGTGGGGGTCCAGGAGCACAGCCTCAGTGATGAGCATAGTAGATCACACTCTTTCTATTTTGTTCTGTTGTTTTTTTCGGTACCAGGTAATCAAACTCAGGACCTTGCACGGGTCAGGCAGGCGAGGCACCACTGAGCTAAATAAATCCCCAGCCCCACACTCTTTCTAAAGAGGTGAGCTAACTTTTAATTGCTTGAAAGTGCAGACTCTAACAATCTGTTTAAGTCTCTGGATTTTGCAAAACTTATACTGTACCTTACTATTTAAATTCAAACATATCTTGGACTGGGGTAGGGAGCAGTATGGGAACCTCTGGCAGGTGTTTAAAGGCTGACCCAAGAAGAGCATGACAGACATGGGGCAGCCAGGCCTTTGTACCTGTCACTGCCATGGAGAGGGTGAGAGGTAGCAACCACTGGGGAAAATAAACCTCACTGCTGGGTGGAGAGGGAGGAATGGGGGCATAACAAACCTGATCCGAGTCCAGAAGGCAGTAATTCACCCGTAACTGAACCAGCTGTGCCAGCAAATCCAAAACCTGCTTCTGCAACTGCACCGAGGTCGTCGTTGTATACTGTTTCAAAGCTTTTATGACAAGAGGCTCAAATAAACGAATGTGGTTGTGAATAGCATTCTGTTAAAAGAGAAAGACCCTGTGAGTGTCTGTCCACCAAAGGCTTCAGGCAAGCAATATGGAGTCTCGGGCACCTGGGATCACAGGACGTGGCCCATGAGCCAGCACAGGCCGGGGCCATTTACCTTGTCTTCCCGGTTCTTTGTGACACTCGTGAAGTTTGTCTTGAGCTGAGTGGACACTTTCTGGAGCACATCAAACCATCTGCCAGAGGGGACAGAGGAAGCAGATAATTTCCATCAGACCTCCTTCAGATCCAGTCACCCTCCAGGTCACACCAATGTCACGCTCACGAGACAGAAAGTGTCGGAGAAGGAACTGCACGCCACTCAGCAGAGGGGCACATGCCGAGATAAGGAGACCACCCGGCATCTGCAGCTGCCGGACAGCCCTAGTCTGACTCAAGCCTGAGCTTTCCCACTAAGGGTCTCGCTCCTCAGCCCAGTCCTGAGGACTTGAGAGAGGTTACAGCCACTGAAGACTGGTAATTTATCCCATGGCTTTCTTGGGGGAAAAATAAATATTCACATCAATATCTTTTTCTTTTTATGAAATATATCTGAAATTTCAAGACTAACACTCCTGGGTGTGGTGGCGCATGCCTGTAGTCCCAGTTACTCAGGAGGCGGGGAGAGAGGATCCTTGAGCCCAAAAACTGGAGACCAGTTTGTGCAACACTGTGAGACCCCAGCTCAAAAACAAACAAGCAAAACCACCCAGCAACACATGCATGTGGTCATACATACACTCACTTGCTTATGTTCACCATATATAATTACAAAAGACATTTAAGTAGGCATATTCCTGAAACTGGGATATATAGTACGTACAGATATTCCTCATGTAACAACTGAATTCCAGTCCTGCAACCAGGTTAAATGAATGGGTCGCTAAATGAGGAGTTGTGTAGAGTGTGCAAATTATAATACTCAGAACAAAGAAATGGTCCAAGGAAATGCCACTTTGGTAGCTTTGCTCTGATTTGCCTAACTCTTACACGCAGTGTTGTGATGTATAATAGAACATGAAACTACAGTGCTGTACTGCACAGTACAATCAGCAAAAATTACAGTACTGTATAAACAAGGTGCACTGTACCCCAAAGAGAATATTAAGGCTCAATAAACAAGATGTACAAAACTGTACCAAAAAAAAAGAGGTCATAAGGCCACCCAGCAGGTTGTAAGTCCAAACAGTGCACCTCGGTCCTAAGTCCAAACAGTCGTGATCCAGGCAAGTTGTTAAACGAGGAATGTCTGTATATCACCAACATAAAGCCTAGAACATGGGTATTTTCCTTGATTCCTGACTTTCATTTATGAATTCTTTCCAATTCCTGAATTACAGGTGTTTGATCATTATACTTATGAAAGGAAAAACAAGAACTCTGCTGCTGTTACTATACAGAGTAGCAACTCAAATCCTTGCTAATAATTATGGTAATTAAAAAACACACAGGGCTGGGAGGTAGCTCAGTGGTGGAATGTTCACCTAGCAGCCATGAGACCTTGGGTTTGATGAGGAAAGGAGGGGAGATTTTCTGTATTCCAGGCAACAAAAAGCAAATTAACATGAAAAGACTTTTAGCCATAAAGTTTATGGGGGGAGTGGTGACTGAAGTGGGGATGGGGCCTTCACACTGGGCTACACCCCCAGCCTGACGCCCTTTTTGAGACAAGATCTCCAAGTCACCAAGTTTGGGCTCAAACTTGCGATCCACCTGCCGCAGTCACCAATAGTGCTGGGACTGTATGCAGATGTGTTTTAGCCAAAAGTTTATAAAACACAAAGGAGATATTTTCTATGTCTTTCAAATACCTGTAAACACTAGCACCATTCCGCCCCTTTGAAGGTGGCCTTTCATCTTATAGAACCAAAAAGTGCTACCAATGCATACCATAATACTAGAGGAAAAGAGGGAAAGACCACTTAAGAGCACTAGGACATAACGTGCGCTCTCCATATGTGGGGCCAGTGTATGTTGTGGGCACCGTCTGAAGGGAGCGCAGATGCCTCTCAGGCACCCCACCCCACGCCCAGCCCACTGCTGGACCAGGCTCTGAAGGCAGGATCTGCGCCTTCTGCATCTTTGCGTTAACCACATTTCCCAGTCTTCTTTGAACACTGTGGGCTACTGAAAGATGCCAACATCCTGATTCTTTAATTCCTTCCCAAAGCACTCCCTGCTGGCTGTTTCGTGCCTCTGAAGGGGCCACCCCACCACAGTGGTACCCCGAGGTGTCGTGCTCCTGCTCTGCCTGCACCATGTTCCTCAGGCTGGCATCCGCAAGGGCCTGTGTGAAGTGGGTGTACGGGGCCATGAAGCAGTAGTGGTACAGGCCCGGCCTCACACTGGAAGAGCCGAGGCGCTGCGCTCGGCCTTGAGACTTGCTGGGGTTGGAAGACAAGCCATCGAACTGGGAAGCCAGGTTTGTCCCAAAGAGAGTCTTCAACAGCTGGAGGGAAAGAATCGAAGCACCAGTAGTTGACTTAGTGCAGCACAAGTGACATTCAAGACTCTCCCTCACACCCGTACAATTCCTGTGTGTGACCTTCTTGTGTGGACAATTCTTATTGTGACCTTGTGAGACCACTGCTGTTGGGAAATCTGGGTTTCCCTGTGGCTCTAAGTGAGACAGGGCTCCTGAAGACAGACCCATAGAGACATTAAGTCAAGGGTAAAGTGGCAAGGGCCAAGCACAGTTTCTGGTGTCCTCTGTTCCCGACAGTACTAGACCACAACCCCCTGGGAGGGAGGACAACCCCCTGTTAGCCCAATCATGGAGCAAGCGAGTGACAGTGTGGACCCCACCCCCCACCCCGCTCACAACTATAGCTTCTGAAGCAGAAGCCGCATGTAGTCACCAGGCCTAGAGGCTTTCCCAAGTAGGACAACAAAACAGCACTCTCACCTGCTGGACACAAATAGTAGCCATCATTGGTTCCCGACTAAAGCAGGATTTCAGGTACCCCAGGATCTCTTCGACACACTGGGAGAAGACAGCAAGATGTTAAGTGACTCACACACAACTCATCATTGTGTGAATCAGAGACAGAAATCAAGGACAAAAAATAGCTTCATTTCAATTGTGTGAACATCAGAGGAAAATCAAAGAAAGGTTTTCAATCTGCCATCCTGACTAGTCACAGTCAAAGATCTTGGAATCCAAGCAGATGCATGAAAACCATTCTTTCACCTTTTATTCCTTAACTGGATTATCAAGTATCAACTTCCAAACATCCAATTCTGTCTTCAGGGCAGGAAGTCAGAAGAGTGCCACAGAATGAAAAGCCCTGCCTCGCAGAGGCCATGGACCTGTCCAGCTGAACACGTTACCTAATTGAACTGAATCCCAGAACACAGCTAAGGAGTTAAAGGAATACAAAAACACCTAGCACCCAACAGTGAGGGATCCAACAAAGTCCAGCAGGCAGACAAGAAGGCAGGAAAACCCAATCCATCGTGAGAACTGTGACCAATCACCCAGAAAGTGCCCAGAACTGGCAAGATTTTAGAATTAGTCAAATAATACATTAAGACAGTTCCTACCACCGTAGTGATGGAGTAGAGACAAGAGAAAGATAAGAAAAGACAGACCAACCTTATAGAAAGAGGGAAAAACGACAATGCTCAAGGTTTTACAGAAGGCAGGGCAAGGACTAAGTAAGTGAACGCAGCAGAACACTACCTAGCCCCTAAAATGACCAATGCAGGCACCAGCTAGTCCACAGGGAAAAGCAGAGGGAACAGCATGGAGAAACAATGGTATGGTGACTAAAGCCAGGGAAACTGGTATGCAGATCAGGTAAGAAAAAGGCTTAGAGAGCATCTGTACAGAACGCGCACAGGCCTTTCGTGCTTGTCACTGTTCCCTGAATAGCACAGCATCTGACTCTGACCCACACTCACTTTGTATTAAGCATCACGAATCACCTCAGGATGGTTCAGAGGTCATGGGAGGACGTGTGCGGACTGCTTGAATACACCACCATCTTACCGCACGCAGGGACATGCGCCCCAGTGGGCTCTGCTGAGGGCTGGGGAGCATCCTGGAGCCACCCCGATGGACACCCAGGGTCAAGTGCACTGCCTTTCAGGAAGACACGAGTGTGCACCGTGAGTCCCTCTGGCACGCACTACAATGACATGTACTGGGGGCAGTATACAAAACAAAGCAAGGCCAGAAGCTTAACAAGTGCAGCATCTTAGAGTGGTACACACACAGGTGTTTACCACACAGCACTTTTCACTGTTTTCTACAGATGTGAGAGTGGGAGAGAAAAACTACTACACTTAGAACCAAAGACCAGGAGTCCCCTGTCTCTGCTGCTTCCTGAGGCAGGGAAATGGCCAGTCTCACAGCCTCACAGACTTGGGATTTGCCCTTTTCAACCCAAGAAGCTCAAATGAGAAAATAAAGGGTTCTATATGTAGATTTTAAACCCAATTTTCTAGAACAACCTGGTTCTAAGCTGATACAAGACAATGAACTAACACTGACAACAGGACACAAACAGAACTGAGCCCTACACACACTCCTCGGTCAGGACGTGACTGGGACTCAGGTGCCTGGCATGAGCACATGGGCTGGGAGCCCAGTCTCCTGGGCTCCTGCCGCTTCCTGGACAGACCTGGATACCAGGTCCATCCCCAGGTACCCCCAGGGCACACATCAGGTGTCCCGGCCACAGCTCAGGGAAGAGGTGAGACACAAACCTTCCCAATGTCCTGCAGCGTCGCCAGCTCTAGAATCTGGGAGAGAACATCCAAGGCAGAGCGCAGGAACCCCCCAAACTTTTCAGTGTTGTTCTGAAGATCCAAGGTGACCTTGGCAAGGTGGAAGGAGAGAGCACACGGTTACTGGCACCGCCGTGGTCTGGTTATCTACAACAAAGACACAAACGCCGTGGGCTGCAGCGAGGTGCTTCTGCCACACAGCCCACACACCCCAAGCGCTCCCCACTCGCGGTGACTGTGGCCACTTGCTTGCTTTGGGCATTGTGAAAATACTGGGGAAGAAACTGCTCTTCCTGACAGCTACACAGAAAGGGTTAACTTCCAAGTCGTGCAGACACTACGGAAAGAGACCATTCCTAACCTATGTCATAGTGAGAAAGACCTGTTAAGTGTCCCTCACAACCAGTATGTGGTAAAGTAATGACTCGATCTCGGGGGGGAAAGGATGAAGAGGGACCAATGTTGGGGCACAGGGACAGCCCCGAGTTACAGACGGTACGAGCGGGACCTGTGGAAAAGAAGCCTCTTCTGTACTGCACTGCAGTGTGTCCGACTCTACTTTGGGGTTGGCATGAGGAACATGCTCGAAATAGAGGTTATCTTTTGTAAAGTGTGGCTAAAGTTTTTATTTTCCAAAGTTATCAATATCCTTCAGAAAAGAAGCCAGATAAAGGTTTATAAATGATTCTCCCTTCCAAAATGAGATTTATCTATTAGTAAAAGAGAAGAGCGTACCTGAGGACACATTTATCAGAAATGTGTAGGAACTATACAAACTAAATTCCATGTGCTTCAGAGGTAATGAAGGGTGTTTTAAACAGGGCAAACCAACACCTTCAATACCAGGCCTCCCTCCGTCAACCAAATTAAAGGCGATTTGACTGGAAAATACTCTCCAGGTTCTATGGACTTGCACTAGCCTACTGTAGTGTTCACATGCAAAAACAGACAGATAAGAGCATTGAGAAAATTTTTATAAAGAGGGGATGCTGACCTTCAAAATGCACTATGAAGCTATGATTAAGCAGTGTGCTTCTAACAGATGAACAGACTGATGGAACAAAATACTAAATGAAGCTATGGAACCACGAGCCAATATTCGGTAAAAGCAGAATTTTAAAACAATCACCACAGAGAAATGGATTATTACGCCAACAGTGTTAGGGACCACTGATGAGGTGTTTGGAAAAAATGTGGAGCCGTACTTTACGTCTCATAAACCGCAGTTGGATAGAACATGATGAATAAAGGACCTGAAATCTATCTACAACCAAAATAAACTGCTGGAGCAGCCGCAGCTCCTCCAGAGGCCCAGACAGCAACGGCCCCAGCAGCCCATTAGACCCAGGTACCTTTGCACATATATTTAGAAAGCAGCAGAGGCCAGTACCTTGTAGTTGGCGTGAGTGGCCTTTAGGACGTCATGCAGCTTGAGGTATGAAGGAAGATGATAGAAGCTCCCCAGTGACGAGGATTTACTGGCTGTAACTGGGCCCGAGGTATCGGATTGTCGGGAGACTTCAAAAATACATAAAAAATGAACTTTTAGATCCACAGAAAAACTTGTCAAGTTTAAAAGAGATTAACTGGCAATAATGACTTTTTTTTTTGGTACCAGGGATCGAACTCGGGTCCTTGTGCTTGCGAGGCAGGTGGCAGAACCACTGAGCTAGATCCCCAGCCCCAATAATGACTTTTAAAAGCATACTGGAACAAACTCAAATCTTTCCATACTTTTTGACTGATTAGAAGAAATGAGAAACACAAGTAGAACCTGAGCCCTAAAAATGAACATCAAACAGTAAAAAGCAGCAGGGCCATGGGATGCGGCTCGGTGAGGTGCAGGATGGAACCCAGAGCCTCCCTGCGCCTGGGGCTCCTCAGAGAACACGGGGCTGACATCCAACAATGTGGCCACAGCCCATTATGCATCCAAACAGAGATGTAAACACATCTTGGACACTGTAAGGGGCACACATGGCATTATTAGACTGACACTAAACACAAAAGTGCTCAGCACAATGTATAATTAGTCTACTCTAGTTTTAAAGACTTCTGGCTTGGCAGTACTTAGTTTCTTTAACTCATCAAAATATGATTAGTTGTATAACGATAAATTCGTAAAGGATGAATCTTTTAAATAGGTAACTCTTCCTGCTGTGCTCTAGATCCTTTTAAAAAGCCTTAATGTATTGGTCAAAGGACACAAATTTTCATTTATTGATGGAGGAATGAGTTCAAGAGTCCTACTGTACAACACGGTGACCAGAGTTAAATAACAGCGCATCGAGGGCTTGAGAGCATTCTCAGAGGCCTTGACCAGCCCCTCCACACTGCACACAGATTGCCATGAGGTCAGGACACAAGGCAGCGGGAGAGGTACCCAGCCAGGGGTCCAGGACAGAGCAGCAGGCGCCTCCTGCTTTGCCACCCAACACCCAGCATCCCCACAAAGAGCAGCCAGCCAGTCAGAACTGACAGCTATTGCCATGCTGACATTCTGGGGCCCTCTGCTCTGTTGTTTCCCCAGGTAAAGAAGCTGCTCCACACACCTGTGACTTTCTAGCCCCCTCCTAGAGATGACTTTATCCCCTACGGTCAACCTTGAGCTTTTTTTTTTTTGGTACCGGGGACTGAACTTGGGACTTTGCATGCGTGAGGCAGGCAGCAGAATCACTGAGCTAAATCCCTGGCCCCAACCTTGAGCTCTTGCAAATGTAAAGTTCCCATGTCCTACTTCAAAATCCTTAGAATCAGTGCTTTCAGCCCATATCCATTACACTCCTTCCTGAAAATCAGGAGCCTGCTACAGCAATGCTTCTAGAAAGATCAGAAAGGAGGCAAGCAGAGTCCTTGCCATAGACCCAGTAATCGGCCTGGCATTTGAGAGCATATCCAGGGAGATTCACTCTGACCTGAGTGCTGGGCACAGGATTTCACGCTGTCCCATCAACTTCGACAAGGGCAGAAGCTTAGTTCTAGCCAAGCACAGGACAGACGGTGCCCTGTCCTTCCCTTCCAGTGCCACTGCCTACCTGCACTCGCCTCACTGCCCTTCTTGGGACTCAATGGCGCAGAGGCTTGTTCTCCTGGTTCCTTCTCCTTGCCTTTGCGGCGGATGGGACTCAGGGAAGGGGGGTTTGTCAGAGAAGGCAAGGCTGCCTAAAGTAGAAAACCAAAACATGACATAAGTACAACCCGTACAGAAATCAAAAACTAAAACTATGATATGCAACTTTACCACGCATTGAGAGGCACTAACTTATGCAATTCATTTTGGTCTTGGAACCCCTCTTTATAGAACCCAAACACTCTAAGTAGATCATTGTCTTTTACTCCCACAACAATCGTAGATGGTAGAAATGGCCCAGAACTTCCTCACAGGTGCACAGGAATGGGCTGGAGATGAAGGCTTTCAGGGAGTCGGAGGGGCCAAGGCCACTGGAGCCCCAGTCCCTCCAATAACAGGGAATCAGGAATTCTATGTGAGCCAAGGCATGAACAGGAACAAACTTTCCAAGTGAGGAAACAGGCTTGGAGATGAAGTAACTCATCAGGGTCATAGCTAAGAGGCAACTAACCCCATGTGTCCACACATCCCACACTCTCCAATCCTCAGGAGAGAATGAAGAACATTCAGGCTCCCATATAGAGGCAGCAGGCATGGGGCAGAGTGAAGATGAGATGACAGCAGGACTCCAAGTCCCAGCTCTGCTGCTCATGCCCTCCCTGACCTCAGCAAAGTGCCAGCTCTATGTCTGAACCCCACCTCATCCGTGGAAGCCACACCTGCAAGGTGATGGCAGCTGGAGATGACTAGGTCATGGGACCAGGGCTCTTACATCACAGGCCCTTGCACGTCCACTACCCGAGGACACAGCCAGAAGGCGGCTCTCTATGGGAACGTGGCCCTGGCCAAAAGCCAGGTCTATCAGCACCTGGATCTCAGACTTCCTGGCTGCAGAACCGGGAGAACTAAGTTTCTGTTGTTTGCAAGCCCTCCTAGCTGATGGCACTTTGTGATGGCAGCTCTGACTGCCTGGGTGGTCACTTCCCACCTCTGACCCCTGTCTGTAAGGATGATGCAGGGGACAGACGGCTGCAGTCAGAGTGGACTGAAGGCAGCAGGGAAAGGCTGCAGGGGCAGGTCACAGGGCACCTCAGGAGTGTCCAGAGGAGCCACATCCAGAGAAGGACAACAGGTCCATTCTGCTTGGAGCTAGAACAGCCACAGCAGATAGGGCTTCCTTTGGGGTTCTAAAACTGACTGCGGTGATGGCTTGCCCAACTCTGTCGCATACTTTAGAAATGAATCGTATGTTTGAATTGTGTGGTGTATGAATTATTTCAATAATGCTATCTGAAAAAAACAAGGCCGTGGAAGCTCAGTGGCACTGTACCTGCCTTGCAAGTTCAAGGTCCAGAGTTTGATCCCCGGTACCAAAAAAACAAAAACAAAAACAAAAAGCCAGATGTGATGATGCAGGCCTAGAATCCTAGCCCTCTGGGAGGCTGAGGCAGGGAGACAAGTTGGAGCCCAGCCTGGGACATTTATCAAGCTAGAAATGGGTGTCATCACAGCTCTGGGCTTTTACTCTCTGGCTCGTGTTTCCCTATTAGATACCTTCCAAGAATACATCTCAACTGCCATGTACATCCAGACCGACATACACGTCCTGTCCAAGTGCAACTCAGGGACTTGGTGAGACTGTCTCAAAATCAAAACATAGTAACGATGCAGTTCAGGCCTGAGGTTCAAATTCTACTTCTGAAAAATCAATTAATCAGGTCAGTGCAGTGGTCCAAATGAGATCAGTCATCTGTGCCAGCATAGCACAGAGTGGAGAGGAAAGGCAGTACGTGAAGATGTGTACATGTATATGAAGAGTAAGCAAACAGCTGTGAGGACTCGGTTTCCAGCTTGGTAAGACAGCAGGCAGGGAAGTGGGGCGCAGGGATGTGGAGGAGGAGCTCCGTGCAGACCAATACACATGTCTGACACATCAGCATCATGTGGCTGCTGGCCATGCTAGGACTGAGGTTTCCTGGTGCTCACACACTGAACACACAGGCAGCCCTGGCCCAAGCTGCCCTGTCTAGTCCTTGAGCCACTGCCCCACGAGGCCATCTACATTTGCAGTCAATGACAACTAAACAAGTTCCTAAGACCCTCAGCCACACTTCAAGAGCTCAGGAGTCACATGTGGCTACTGTCCTGGGTGAGGAGGACATGGGACAATTCCCTGATGGCACGAAGGCCTGCTAGACAGAGCTGGCTCTCAGAACAGGAGCAGAGAAGGCCAGAGGCCAGAGCCTCTAATGGGTGGCAGGAAAGGCCAACCAGGGCATTGCTGAGGAGCAGCAGGGAGTCAGAGGAAACACTAGGCCCAGGGAAGCAAACTGGAGAAGGCTTGGACCAGGAAAGTGAGATCAGCAGAGATAGGGTGGAACAATAAAGGGCGTAGGAAGGTGTTATAGTTTGGATACGGAATGTCTCCCAAAAGCCCATGCATTGAAATCTTGGGCCCTAGTGATGCTGCTGCCCCAGCCCATTCCTCTTTCTGCTTCCTGGCCCCCATAGGTGAGCGGTTTTCTCCACACTATGCTTCTGCCGTGATGCTCTGCCTCACCACAAGTCCAAAGGCAACAGGGCCAAATGCCCATGGACTGAAGCCTCTGTGACCATGAGCCAATGCCACCCTATCCTCCTTTTAAGTTGTCTCCTCTCAGATATTTTGTCACAGCAATGAAAAGCTAACTAACAAAAGGGAAGGGAAATGGGCTGGAGAAGTGCCCTGGAGATTTAAAGACATAATCCTGAAGGGCAGAGTGCTTCAGAGAGCAGCGCAGAAAGCAGACCAGCAGGGGTTAAGAAATGGATGGGTGACACAGGACAGGACCCAATGTCAGGGGACCAAAAGGGTTCCAGCAAGAGGGGACCCCCAGAGAGTGGGAAGCGCTGGGTGCTGGGCTAGGAGGGCCAGAGACAGCAGCTGAAGGAGAAAAGGAAATTGTAAGGGAGCAGTTTAAAAATGGAAGGCACGGGAAAGGAAGAACCAGGTGGAAGTGGACTGATCTACCTTAAATGCACTATGCAAGTAAGCACCAATCACAGAGCGAGGCATTGTCCCCTCGGAGGCAGCAGTGACTCAGTAACTGCTGAGAGATCACAGCCCCAGCACAACCAGGCCTCATGTTTCCATGTTCAATGTTCTGTGTTCACGTACAGAACAGTGAGTAAAGAAGGAACAGCCCGCTAAACGAGGTGTCCCAAAGCCCCAGTCCTCTCCCTGGACTATAGCAGCTGCCCTGAAGAAGCCGTTACCTTGATTGCTGGCCCAGGAGCCACGTCATCCAGGACGTGGGCACAGATGTTGATCACCTTCAGCAGGTGGGAGAAGAGCTGCTCCACCATGGGCACCAGGGTCCGGTCCCCCAGGGCAGGCCACACCTCCTCCTGTCTGGTGGCAGCGGGGTTGGCTTCTTCTTCAGAGGCCCATGAACTCCTCAGAGACTTGGGGGCACTAGCTGTGACACAGGTAGACACATTACCCGCCTCCACAGGTGGGAGATGGAAATTGCCTAGGGGACATACATCATTTAAACCCCTCTGTGCTGAGTCTGCAGGACTCCTGGACCTGAAGCTCAATGGACCCCTCCAGTCTGTATTCCTAATTTCCAGGAAAGTTACCACCATATGCCGGCCCAGGATGTGACTGGTCCTCCAAACAGGCTCAGGTGGTCAGGTCTGGTGATTCCACCTCTTCCAATCTCTCAGCCTCCTCCCTCCAACCCCAAGCAGCTCTCGGGGCCGAACTTCCACACTAACCTCCAGCCCTCATCAACAGCTGGGTGCCCTTTCTCAAACAAGCCTGTTAGCTCCTTCACGAAACTGGCCAACACAGCCCGGTCCTCTAACCCATACCCATCCAATTTCAAAGGACTCTGCTCTCCTTGCTGGCCACTTTTTACACTATCATCCCCATCCTTAGGTGACATCCACGATGGCTCCCACGGCCCCCCATCTCTCATCTCCATGACTTCACCCATGCTGCACCGACCTGGTGAGCCCTACCCTGCCAGTGTATAACTCTGCCCACACAGAGTTTACAGTAGGTTACAGCTGCCCTGTGCTGCTATCATCCCTTGCCAACCTACAAGCAGTGTGAGAATGGAACCTACAAGGTACACCTTCCTCTGGCCCCCAGCCTGCGACAGAGCCTCGCACAGATAGGGCTCCCACTGAAACGGACCTCAGGACTTAGCTACCCCTGAAGGAACCAATAACCCTGGTGAGGACTCAGAATGTATCTCCCTTGTGTGCTTTCCACCATCACCCTCATGAGGGAATCACTGCTCCAGTCCTGAGGTCCCTGCTTCATCTCAGCCCCAGTACCTGCGAGCAAGTTTCCTGCCAAGATCAAGGCGTCTTGATGGGCAGAGATGTCCATCGGGAACCAAGCCGAGGAGAGCAGGGTAAGAATCACGGTGGCCATCCCAACAGTGCAGCTCTTCCTGGACTCATCGGAGGCACTCAGTGGGGGTGCTCTGGAAGTAGACACCTGAAGGTCACACTAGCGAAGGGCCAAGGGAACAGTTCTGCTTCTCTGAGCCACAGGAGGAAGGCTCATCAGATACTTTCCACCAGCTCAGAGACTCATTCTACTATTTGTAGCCAAGTAGCACACAGGCCCGTAAAAATCATTTGGGAAATAAAACAGCTAGTAGAGCTGATAAAATGTCCTGGAACTACACGTTCACTGTGGTGAATTCTTAACTTTCTTCGCATTTTGATTTAGCAAATTTTACTCCATTGCCAAAAGTTGTTCAGAAGTCAAGTCTAGTGCTGGACCTATGACTAGACTGTATTTGCTTAGTCTTTGCAACCATTCTAAGCCAAGGACGAAGCCGTACACTGACACACGAGACCCCTCAGAGCTACTCCCAAATGGGACGTGAGTCAGCTGAAATTTCTCAGTCTTCAGAGCTCACAGGAAGGACCACTCCTTAGTGCTGCAGAAGGGTCAAACTGTCCCACTGGCTCGCAGGCCATCTATGAGGGGAAAACTACTTGTAAGTGAAAATGGTGGATGGAAGTAAAATAGACCTTACGTCTAGGCTGATAGTTCCTCACAATTCTATATGCTAGTCACACCTGATTTGCAGTACACAGTCAGTAATTCTGGAAAGAAGCCAATTAGAAAAGTTTCTGCAGCTTATGAAAACTCTTCGTTGAACCCTAGATCATAGAGATCACACCCTGAAATCCCCAGATACTTAAGAACCGTGGGCATTCATTAGCATTTCCAAACACTTCCTCTTTCTAGTTTTCACCTCTAATAGGGCAGACACAAGTATTCATCAGATACTTTTTCCAAAAAGCCAACTTGATAAAAGGTAGAAAAGAAAGGATCGAGGGTCCCAGTGACCAGGTCTGCCTCGAGCAGACATACAGATACTGAGGAGGTACATACCCACAATGCCAACCTAAGCTCCACACACAAACTGGAAAGGCGGCTGACAGAAGACACAAAGCTTCGCAGCATCCAAACTGCAGAAGAAAGGAAGAAAAAGTCACTCCCAAACACCGAAAAGGCTGAGTATTTTCAGTGAGTATGTGCTACTCTGATAATCAGAAAGTAGTTCTTTGTTACTCCTTGGAATGAACCAAAATTCTGGGGACAAAAGCATGTTCCCTGAGCAAGCACCCCAGGTAGGAGCTGGGACAGTGTCTCCCCACATGACCTCACACCACCCGACCACACACCACCCGACCACACAGGCTCCTGGGACTCAGCCTCCATCAGCCTGGCCTGAAGGACTTACAGTGAGCGCACGCGTGGTGGCCGTGATCAGCTCATGAGAAACAGCAGCAATAACTCTCGAGAGGTTATTCTCCATGGTGACATCTGTTATGCTTGGTAGTAAACTATAGCCTCTATAGATTCTATAAGGAAAACGGGGACACTTAAACTCTTTTAAATCATACGACATTTTTCAAAATCAGATGGCACTGTAAAGTTTAAGATAAAAGTAAAGCAGTCCTGGCTTTTACTTTAGAAAGACTAGAAATAAATGTAGTGCTTATTTGGGGGTAAAGGCTGGATCCCCCCCCCCCTTCCTCCCAGTCACCCACTCCCTGCAGCGCTGGGCACGCTGGCCTGGCAGCCTGCCTGCCACCCTAGTCCTCTGTGCCAGAAGCACCTGAACCCACCCTGACTCCTACCCAAGGGAAATCCCTTCCCCATGACCAAGCCCCCAAGGGACTCTTCCAGTGGGACTCTTCGTATGTCACACATTGCTAATCCTTTTTACTTCTACTCCTACAAATTGTAGAGGTCTTGTTCACTGAGACAACAACAAAATTCTCAAACATCTGGGAAATCTGATTTATTCTCTCCCCATAGATTCTATCAGAGTAGATAGTAAAGTGGGAAGTATAGTGGTGCAACTGGTAATCGTGTCTTCCATGCAGGGAACAAAAAATCATGGTTAAGTGACAAGAGGCTGGTTGAAGTGCAGAACTAGGAGAATTTTCTAAGCAGCAGTTAGCAAGCAATTGTAATACAATATTAGACTCATCTCTGCTGGCTACTACAGTCACCCTCTGAAATGGCATTAGGGACAGCAATTTACACTATGTTTATCAAATTCGTGAGTCTTGAGATATTTATACACTGTTGCTTATCTTAAAGGAATATCTGTGCTGAATCTTTTCAAAGAAAATAGTGGTTCAGAGATTAAACAAAGGACAGTCTCTGAGGGAAAATACTAAGGAAGCCTAGAAATTAGTTCCTTGAGTGACTTTTAAAAGTGGGCTTGCCGGGGATTTAGCTCAGTGGTTTTGCTGCCTGCTGCACAAGCGCAAGGACCCGAGTTTGATCCCCAGTACAAAAAAAAAAAAAAAAGTGGTCTTTATACAAGAAAAGATGGAAGGTATTTAGGAATACTAATTGCAAAATTTGAAAAGCTGAGTTCTAAATTCAGGAAAAAACTATCCAGTGATCATTAAAGCTTAAAAGTCATTTAGTCAAGATTTTAGAAAACTGCCATTTAGCACAACGGAGGGTATCACAGAATTCAGTTCTGAAAGAACATCTAAAGGACACAGTTAAAAGCCTGACAGTCTCATTGCCACTTCTGTGGCCTTCGCTGCCAATTAATCTTCTGAAGCAACCTGCACCTTCACAGATGCATGTCTGTGCTGCTCCTGCCAAGAGCCAAGAGACATCCGTGCATGGCCAGTGTCACACCCCGCACTCTCGCCACGCGCTAGCACCAGCCCAGCCAGTAATGATTAGCGGGTGACGGAGTGCATCCTCCTCACAAGGGAATTGAGTAAGGGGACAATGTTCAGTGGACAAGTTTCCAGAGGACACAGGAGAGCCACACACCAAAATCCAGCTGGCGGTCAGAGGAGTGTGACGGCTGACACAGTCACTGCGGTGCACCTTAGGTCGGGCTTCAGCACACAGGAGACAGGACCCGCTCAGACGTGCTGAGGAGAGCCTGTGTGGGTGGAGGGAGCCCGGGAAAGCACCGGAGGCACACAAGCATGCTGCGTACCTCGTGATGGTGCTGACGGAGAAGTGTGAGGGAGGCTGTGTCTCGTGCATGAGGAGTTTCAGGTGAACACTGCTTTGGTCTCTTGCCACAGCCACCACTGGATCAGCCTGTCCTTGGTCACATTTATAGAACAGCTTTGGGACGAGCCTACCATGAAAGAGGCTGGTTTACTGGGAGGCACGAGACCCTTACCCAGGCTCGCTCCCTCTCCTGGGGCAGCCAGGCCCGAAGCCCTGTCGCAGGGGCACCCCTGGTGGAGGACGGAAGGGGTGTGGTTCCTTTTTGGTGCTATTCTTATATTCCAAAGTGCTGGCAATCAGAGTGCATCAGAAGGTTACAACAGAAGGTTCGTATTTGTTTTTGAATTGTCATTTTAGTAACTTTTTTGAATCTGTGAAGGGTAGAATGGCTGAGAATGAACTCAAACTCAGAACGCCTCCTGCCACACTGCCTCTGAGCTCCTCTTGCTCTCTCTCCCCACCCTCACACTGTTCATACTTCAGCCAAGAGCAAGGGATGAGAGGAAGCCTGGGTAAATACCTCACTAATGATGCCGCAGCAACGTGTCGCACCCTGGGGTCTTCGTCCCCAAGCAAAGAGATGACAACATTATTGAGCACTCGGTCTTGCAGTTTTAAAAGCTTTAGAGAGAAGGATAACAGAAATAAGCCATCTCTGCACTTGACTACAGGTAAAACATTTGGGAAAGATCAACACAATCAATCTTGAATTCATACCATACAGTCACAATTCTCAAGAGATAAGGTGTGAAACACCTAACGACAATGACATTCAGAGAAATCTATCATGGGAAGCCCCACTGCATGTAGTTCTGGGAAGGCAGGGCGCGGTCGCCCAAAAGGAACTACTTACTCCTGTATAATGATGAGCCCCTCTGTGTAAGCTCTCTGCTTTTGCCTCCAAAAAGCTCACCAGCCTGACAAAAGAACACAGCCAACAGTGAAGCCATTCAGTATGCAGCCAACATTGAGGGCCCGGCCATGGTACTCTGGCAGCAGGGACACAAAGTGGCGCTGAGGCAGCACTTCTCAAAGTTCAATGGGCTTAACCACAGTCCTCCACCTCCCTCACCTAATAGCAAAATCGGTGAAATGTTCCGAGGACATGGCTTTTCTTCAAAATACACGGCTGCTCCCCAGGAGCGCCCTGGGTGCCTGTGGAGCTGCCCGACACCTCTGGTGGGTGAGCTGGCTGCAGAGCCCCCACCCACTGACAGGTGTGCCCCTTGCTCTGGCCCTAACTGCAGGGTGGAGGTAAGAACATCCCTGACTCAGAGATGTTTCAAGGATGTAAGGAATAACCCAAATTGGCTCTGGTGGCTTAAAAAAACAAAGATCAAAAAAAATGAAAACAGAAACAAAAGGAATAATAAAGGTAAATTTCTATGCAAAAAGAAAGTCTTGCAAGAAAACATCTCCAACCAAAACTTACTGTTAGAAACCAAAAGATGCAACACATCAAAAGTTATTTAATTGCAAAAAAATATGATCCAGCCCTCCCCCCCAAATTCAGAATAATAGTGACTCCATACATTCTTTTGTAAAGGAGTAGTACTGGCCAGGCATGCTCATGCATGCCCGTAATCCCAGCACTTGAGAGGCTGAGGCAGGAGGATTGCTGGGAGTTCAAAACCAGCCTGTGTGATACAGTTAATTCGAGGCCAGCTGAACTACATAAGGAGACTTTGCCTCAGAAAACCAAAAAAAATTAAAAAACTAGTAGAACTGATAAAAGCTTTATTTTTTAAAAAGTTTAAGACAGGAGCTGGGAACACAGCTCAGTGGTAAAGCATTTGCCTAGCATGCACTAGGCCCTGGGTTCCCTACCTACACAGAGAAAAATGTAAAAAAAAAAAAAA